GTTTGACAATCGTTTAAAAGCCGCGCGCCATTAACGAGAGCATCATTACATATAAACAATACAAACTCTATTGTTGCAGGTTTTGAGGAATTCAAAGGGTTACCCACAGTCATTACCTGCCGTTGTTTGCCTATAATAATTAATTTTGTCAAACAAACATACTTACACTTACAATGTCTATCTAAGAAAGGGTTTGATCAAATATGTTTATTTTGGGATACCTAGAACTTTAACTGACTAAGCTTAAAATGAACAAAGTGTTTTTCCAGATAAACTAGCTGGTTATTAATATTAGTAAATGTAGTAAGGGAGATTCTGATATGTTACTGCCAAACGAGAAAATAAACTATTTACATTATGAATAAAACAAAATTATTAACATCAATATTTTTATTTACAAAACTTAAATTACTAACTAAGCTTGATATCATAAATTAAATAATGCATAATAAGGAAGCCACAACTGTATAAATTACTACACACATACAAGCTAAAGTATAAAAGATTAGTAGAACTCAAATTGGCTACAACAGTTCTTAAATATGTAAACTGTTTATATTAATATGATACAAAGATACAAAAAAATAAAAATACAAAGTTTGATATAATTTGATTTGAGGGAAAGAACACATACTAATCAAAGTCATAATCAGATACATTACCTACATCTACAAACTCTATATTTTCCTTATCTTCACAAGCAGTTAATAATAATGATTTAGCTTCATTTGTGAGAGGTTTATTTCGTTGACATATTTTAGGCCTGAAACTTGATAGGTATGGGTCAGACGATATTAACAAATTATTGATAATATCTTCATTTGTTGCAATCCTGCTAGATTTACGCGAGTGGAAGGTTCTGAAGTTTTTAAAATCTTTGTTACGAGCTTCAGAGGCCTCTTCAGAGAGCTTGCCGATTGGTATAAAGTTATTGTGCTCTGTTATATCGGCACCATGAATGAGTAATTTATGCACGCTTGAGGGCATATAATACCATTCATAGAGCTCGATATATTTGCGTGCTGTAGCAGCACAATATTGGCGGAATTTTTCCACGTCCACAAACTCCACATGAGATAGCCTGAAGAATCACTCCAAATCTTCTAACGAGTTCTTCATCAACACCCGTTATTTGAGCAGTAATTTGAGGATTAACAAAAAATCTTCTTGCTGTGTTTCCATCGTTGCTTGTACCAGCCCCTTGTTTAACAACGTCCACAAGTAGCCCCGTTTCAGTCCGGAATTGTTCTTGAATAGCCTTTTTTCTTTGGCTTAACTGTTGCTTCAAATCTTCGCCCTTAGCTTGCCATTTCTTGAAGTCGAGACGGTAAGCAATATGTAAGATACATTCCATGCATCTAATTCGTGCATGGAGGGAAGACAGACCGAACTTAAACATGTCTACAGACTGGGTTCTCTGAGTAACCTTGTCGATATCATTCATTTCTTTTGGTTTTGCTTTGCATATATCGCATGTAGCTGTGGATGTATCTGATAAATGTGAAGTTATTTTACCATCAATCATCGTCATATGCAGAACGTGTTTTACATTTGCACCATCGATAACAGTTGGATGTAGAGCAGCAATTTCCGTATCAATTGAAGTCATTTCTTCTTTAACATTCAAATCGTTCTCTTTAGCAAACTTAAAATAAATGGGTCGACAGTAAAACGTTGAAGACGCTTTGGGGTTTTCCCATATTATTTCATCAGTACCATCTCTCACCAGTTTTAACGGCACAAATGAACACATGAAGATGCTTGAATCATCGCCGTCAATTTTTTGTTGGTAGTTGCTTTGCCCAGATGCACCGTCAAACCCCCATTTACTGATAAGAGTCGAATTACTGCCAGTTAAATCAGTTTCCAGAGTTTTTAATAGTCTCTTGACCGTAATATCTAAAATAGACTGAAGTTTAAGTTTAACTTCAGTCTCAGTTATTACCATGTCTTCTTTTTCAACGTAGCACTCCTTCTTCTCTTGCTTCAAAGCATCATACGATGGAAGTATATCACACCCCATTTCTCTCATTGTCTGCCTCAATGTAATATACTGCCATTTCGATAATTTCAGTGATGTTGAAATACCGAGTGCCTTATCGGTATGACAAGTTCGTTTCGTCGATTTCAGGCAGGCTCGCAGCATTGGCGCATCTTCAGGCTTTTTAATCAAATGCTTCACTAATTCTACAAAGTCCGTTTGGTTTTCATTTTCCGCTTTCCTAGCCAGGGCATAAGCAAGTGTCTCAAAATCGTTTTCGGCAATGAGATTTTCAGTTCTTCTTCTTTTTTGCAGTGGATTCAAATTGGCAAATTCTTTTCGAGGACTAAATGTAGCGGTTGATGTCGACACAGCCACACTATGAGGAACAGTGCATTCCGTTGATAAACTAGGTCTTGTTACTGTTGAAATACTTGTTGAAGGATCTTCAAAACTCGTCATAATATTTGATTGTTCTTCAGTTATGTCTAGTGAAACAAACTCTGGCCATTTTATTTCTTGGTCCAACCAGTCAGCAAACTTCTTTATAAAATTCCCTTGTGTGTAATTAGCTGACTTCCATTTGCGTTTAAGATTACTCGTATATGTAGCACAAAACGTTTTAAGAGTTGTCTTTTGTTCTTCAGATAATGAAAATCTCACTGAATCGAGTACTTTTTGAAATAACATGTCGGCACTAAAATATTTTTGCCTCATATATATATATATATACGTCGAGATTAGACACAAGCCCTTCCATTCTGAGCAACTTAAAATTTGAGCAAAGAGAACGTTACGGTACGAATCAATAATGATAAGTGAAATGAAATACAGGTGTACTCCGTATTTATTATAATCGAAGTCATTGTTGAATAATAATAATAACAACGTATTATTTATTCACCTACCCACAATGAAAAGCAAATAATCAGTAATTATTATAGGCAAACAACGGCAGGTAATGACTGTGGGTAACCCTTTGAATTCCTCAAAACCTGCAACAATAGAGTTTGTATTGTTTATATGTAATGATGCTCTCGTTAATGGCGCGCGGCTTTTAAGCGATTGTCAAACAAAGGATTAAATTGTAGGCTGTAAAGGACTTCATTGTAATTCTTTACAATATTGTATTCTTGTTTTCTTTTTCTTAAAACTATTTCTTTTATCTATTTATATTAATTCCATATCTTTTGAATAAGGACGCTTTTATTTAAAGTTAAGTTGTATGGTGTCGTTATCTATATATATATGTATAGTTTTATTAGATAATAATCTGCGCTGTATTAATAACTAAATGCTGGGCAAGAAACATAAACAAACTGTTTATTGAGACACATAACCCCGTAAAGCAAAATTACCCTAATAAGCATTTTGAAAAATTCGTATCTTTTGAACGGGGCCGTCCGCGGTGAAGGTCAAAGGTCACATGGCTTCGTAACAGACCCGGTAATAATCCCTATTAGTTTCAGCTTGACCGTAGAAGACCGAGACAAGTTATGAGCAAAACAAATTCCGTTTTCATACATTTGAAACTCTAAAGCCCGTGCTTTATGGTGTTAGATTAAAAGGAAATTCCCCAAACTATTTTATTATTCAATGTACTGATATGTCCAATAAAACCGCATGCCTTAAACGGATAATATACATTTTTATTTTTTCAAAAATCCTATGAAAGGGGACCTCTTTTTTTCACCCACTGTGCGGCGGCTACTAGTTAGTCGGCTGAGGTACTTAGAACTTGTCATAAATCCAAAGATGGAACAAAATGGTCTAAAGATTGTCCTAGACAAAGCGTTGGAGTTCGGTCTGAGAATATTATTACTAATTCTCTAGCTCTCTTTTTATCAGAGAATATGTTGAATACCGTATTTATGATGAAGCGCCGAGACTACATTCGTAATTTACGTTTAATTCTAATAAATGATAGTCTTCGGAACAGGCAACAGAACTTACATCTTCCAATGGAAACACAACAAAGAATTGCCGATTATTTAGAGGTACCCTTACCACCAGTTGTAAAAATATGGTTGGTAAATATGTTAGATGTGATGAGTGTACTCAGTAAAGGCAGGAAAAACAAAACATTGCTGTTCAAAATGTGAGAAGCCAATATGTATGGAACACGCGATTTTTATGTGCGGAGATTATGCTGATTTGTAGGTGTAACTTTGGTGTTCCGTTACATGATCTTATATGTCTCTTCAGCTCCTTTTTTATTTAAAATAATAAAAATACACTATTGTTAGGTTGATTTACCAAAGAAGTTGGATTTTTGTTAGATTTTTATGCGAAAAGAAGTTAACTACCTAAACGTGTATTTTTTAAAGAAAGTTTACATACTTTGTAATTTCAATAGAAAATAACGCTTTTTGTACTTAATGCTGGTATTTTATTCTCTAATCTTGTTGAATGGATACTATTATTAATACATTTCAAGCATAAATGCTAATTACACAATCATAGTATCAAAAATTTAACATCAAAATTTTGGGTATCTCCTACCCGCCTCATAGCTGGTGTAACAATTTCTCACCTCATTCACGCCGGGTTAACGCCATGCGCCAGGCAAAAACAGTTGATCTCTATTATCATTATAAATATTGCATTAGGCCTTCACTGCCGAAACCATAAAACTCTATTCTATTTGAGATATTCTCAGCGTCTCAAACGAAAGACGGTTTCGCACAACGAGGGTTCCGTACCATCCCATTAGATTTAATAGTTAAACGAATAAAAATAATAAGTTATTGCAGCAATATAAATACACGCTTCAAATTTTAAAATGCCTATATATTACGGAGACATAATGCGATTCAGACTTTATGGCGATTGTGAAGTTAGCAGCGAGCGCAACTAATGCGCCAGTTTCAGTTAGGTGAAACCCTACACGCGCCTAATATAACCATATTCCGTTTACTATGTCGAAGAACTTGTGCTCTAAAGTCACAGGTGGATGGGCTTATCCACATGGTGAATACTATTATGAATTCTGAACCTTGAAAAACTGGTGTGTCGATAGGTGGCAGCAGTGGGGCGGCGATGTGGGGTGCAATACAAGCAGCGCGTTCGCTGCGCCCCGGCCAGCGCTGCGTCGTCTTACTGCCCGACAACATCCGCAACTACATGACCAAGTTCATATTTGACCAGTGGCTCGAAGTCAGGCACTTCAAGCCGCTGCTGCAGAACGACAAGTTATGGTAAGTATCAATACTTAATTACACAGACGCCAGACCAACGCTGGCAGACTACTGCCGGACAACATCCGCAACTACATGACCAAGTTTATATCCGACTAGTTGCTCGAAGTCAAGCACTTCAAGCCCATGCTGCAGAACGACAAGTTATTGTGAGTATGCGGGCATACTTACTTATACAGGCGCCGGACCAACGCTGCATCATCCTACTGCCTGACAACATCCGCAACTACATAACCAAGTTCATATCCGACCAGTGACTGGAGGCCAGGCACTTCAAGGCCCTACTGCAAAACGACAACTTATAGTTAGTGCAAATATATGAAAACAATGTCACAAACAATTTTTATTACGAGTCTTTTTCAAAATCGTAACTAGTTAGGAATGTAAAATTTTGCCAGTGATGTTCCTTATGCTGTATTTAAACAACAAATACTGAAAACGCCGATTCTTAAAGTACTTTGCAAGTAGTGACCAAAACAAGTAAATGATTTTTTCTTTTGCGATTTCTTGTACGGAACCCTTCGTGCGCGAGTCTGACTTGCACGTGGCCGGGTTTTTAGAAAATATGCCAAATCTCACGGTGAATAAGGGACGGCGAAATTTTAATATTCCGCTATTTCATTTACTCATATTTCATAAAAAAATATGATACAATACTAAATGTAGGTAGGTAAATATATTCCGCTTACGGAAATAAAATTAAATATCACATTATTATCAAATCGTCATGAAACGACCTTATTACAGTAATTGCTTTAAGTGAGTAATATCATGCTTATATGTCAACCATTAATCTACAAAACGCGACCTATTGCCACTTCGATATAAAATAGCTTCGTAACAAAAATGTGATTATGATAATTATAGGGAGATCTTTCTGACCTCACCCTTTTTGTTGTAAAGAGGAAACACGTGTAAAGAATTTTATTAAGACAAAGTTCAAAGAATCGAGAAATCGTGCTGGGACCTTCAGCCATACAGATTGTTCTTTTTTAAGAAGAAATGTAAAGTATTACGAGCCAGATCATGAGAGCCTAGTGGACGAAAATTGACAAAAAAATGTTGATAATTGGCCATTGTCGTGCTCCTTAAACTGCTGAAAGTTGTTTTTAATCATCGACCTTCTCGGGGTATGTAGGACCCTTAAAGAAACACAAGATAGATTCTGGCTCAGGGTACTTGTCTTTACGCGTTATAAGTGAGTACCTATGACTCGCTGCCTCGCTATACTCTGATCACGAAAATAAGTTAGTGGAGCGCTTTCTTTATCACAAAATCAGTTTCAAGAGAACGGCGGCTTATCGTCATCGATCATTTCTCCATATTCCATTTATAGGTAAAGCCTGTTTTCCAACAAGGGGGGCAATGTTAGGATGATGAAAATATTGCATAGAAAATGCAGTTAATTTATTTTTATTTCCAGGTGGTGGAATAAACCCGTGACAGAAGAAGTGACACAACCCGTGACCAGTATTTCAGTTGAGACCACAACTCAGGAAGCACTTGCTACGTTAAAGAACACAAAAGCGCCTCTACTTGTCGCTGTTAATGATAAGGGGTAAGATATTAATTATTTCAAACATAGTATAGTTTTATACCATAACCCTTATGATGGAACTGCCAGGCCACGAATTTTTGTTTAACGATGAGCGCAGCAACAGTCAGACAGTATAATGAATGGATGAATGAATATAAATATTCTTTATTGCACTGTAGGACAGTTTAACAGTGGTAGGAAAGTAAAAACTGTACATTGAATATTTTTTTTAAAGAATACTTGAGGTGTGATCTACAATCAATACCGAAGCCAAAAATATAGTTTTAATAATTTTTGTCTGTTTGTCCAGGATAAAATCAAAAATTGCATTTGCATGAATGCATGGATTTACTTTAAATTTGGCACGAATATTATTAAGAAGTCGGGTCAACATATAGGCTACACATTATAATAATTCAATTAATTGTCACATAAATTGATTACATCATACAGAACGAGCAGTGAACCTGTATTTCTTACTAACTCCACGCGTACGAAGTCGCGGGCGGCCGCTAGTAATACATATACAGGAATGCGCTACATATATGACTTCCTTATTACTGAGCTTATACATTCTCTACCAGGCAACCTTTGGCTAAACAAACTATACCAGAGTACTTAGTATAAACAGTTAACGTGCTATTGTACTCGTCTGTAAGATGGAAGCTTATTCTCCGGCGGGGGCCAATTTCGAAAAGAATATTGGCCAATAGGTTAAATATGATTGTAATCGTGATGTGTTTTATAATGCTGACCTTAAAAAATCCTACACGGTAATGTCATTTTAATAATTATCACAGTGTTAATATTAGTGACACGCGCGATAACTTTTCACACTGTGTCAAAGCAATAGTTTATTGGTTTCTGTTTGTGTAACTACTTACATGATTTTAAATCACATAAGTTTTTGTACGCATCGTACAATGCATCAGGACTTAAACACTTATGCTCAAGGTTCATGCTACGCTTACTGGTTACATGTATAAATTTGTTCCTTGGTTCCTGGCAGGTTCTGAAAAAACTAACTTATAATACGGATAAAGTCACGGACAGTACAGTAAGTAGTAGCTAGTCTCAAATAAATTATGAAATAAGGCTTCCCCCATAGGTGCGTTATTATAGGTCGATAGCATCGGATGCGTTATTGCGATATCTGTTTTTAGTTACATATCTGTTACATTCTGTACTAAAATAGGAAGGCTACGAAGTTTCTCACTGCTGTGGTAATAATGACGAAATAACGCATCCGATATTATCACGCCTATGGGTGGAATAGTTAAAACTTCAAAGATGATTATTAAATACTCTTATACCATATTAAAAAGCATAAATATATATTGTGCTCTTTGTTTTCTATTCCTATTGAAAAAAATAAATAGTATATTATTGGTTGTCAACTTTGTCAAGTCAGTTGGATCCAAAACAAACATGTCAGTGTTTTCAAATTTTAGTTTTTCTATAAATGATCCAGTCTAATGATTCTCCTATTCATCTGTCTGGGGTTATATATGTATTTGGTTTTACTCATGTTCGAACACATTGCAGAGCAAGAGAAATAGAGCAACACATTTTTTTCTAAATCCATAATGTTCACTACTGCACGGATATTTAAGGGATTTTATTGTAGCAAATTACTTGATCTCTTCAAATTATGGCATTTTATTGATGAAACAGGATTTTGCAAGTCTCAACTTACTTCGGTGATGAAGTTGTAGATGAAAAGGTTAATTTGATGAATAGTTAAGAACTTTTACATTCTTGTTTCATTAGTTATTCTATTTATTAAGTATTATGCTAAGTTCATCTTCTATTTCTTTTAGATATCTAGGTAGTCTTTGTACTATTCATATAACAGTGTGAATATAAAAAATAGTCTTCCTTAAAGTTTTGCTTCTGAACTAGTTTGTGATTAACTGTATTCATCTACTTTTAAAGACTTAACTATAAAAGAAAATCATGTAATTAAAGCTCTTTATTACGCATCATAACAATTATTACTACTTACTTTTAATAATAATTATATAATAATTACTTACCTATAATAGCAACTCATGGCTAATAAATTTTTTATGAACCAACTGACAGCTACAATTTTTTAAGGCCATGACATTTTCTTTAAATATAGGGTAAATAGGAAGCTAAGTGTGTATCTGTTTGTTACGCTCTTCACGCTCAACTGATTTAGATGAAATTTGGTATAGAGATGGTTTGAGTCACGGAAAAGTACATAGGATGGTTTATCCCAGAAATCATCTTTTAAAGGGGGCGAAAAGGGAGGTAGAGTTTAAACCAATTTTTACATGCATTTATTGGCAGCTACTAGAATAAACGACACAACCAAGATCCAGCTTCTTGACAATTAAAACAAATAAATAAGTGACTCAGGTATTGCAAATCGACACCAATCGCGTTAATATGTCCAATTGATGAGACGACCTCCGTGGTCAAGTAGTTTGTACGCCGGGTTTCATGGTGTCGCCGACTCGAGTGGGGGCAGATCTTTGTGTGATGAATACGAGCATTTGTACTCCAGTCATGGATGTTTAATATGTATTTCTTTATAAATATACTTATATATGTACAGTATATGTATTCTATCCGTAACCCTAGTATCCCATAAGACAAGCTTTACAGTACTTACTTTGGGGCTAGGCTAATTGGTGTGAGGGTTGGAAATATTTATTTTTTTAAATATTTATTTATTTCTCCCGATAGAAGCGTAGTGGGAGTCGTGACGGCGGATAACACGCGGCGTCGTCTCGCAAACCTGGCGGGCTCTACCACTGAGGGTCTGGACAAGTTCCTCGTCAAGAAGTACTACCGCGTGGATCTGGCTCACCAACCCGCACTCACGCTGGGATACGTGTCGCGTATACTCGACATCGCGCCCTTCGTACTGGTCGTCAAATCAGGTAATACTAGTTCCTTGTCACAAGTACTGCCGCGTGGATCTGACTCACCAACATACGTGTCGCGTATACTCGACATCGCGCCCTTCGTACTGGCCGTTAAATCAGGCAATACTAGTTCCTTGTCACAAGTACTGCCACGTGGATCTGGCTCACCAATATACGTGTCGCGAATACTCGACATCGCGCCCTTCGTACTGGCCGTTAAATCAGGTAATACTAGTTCCTTGTCACAAATACTGCCACGTGGATCTGGCTCGCCAACATACGTGTCGCGTATACTCGACATCGCGCCCTTCGTACTGGCCGTTAAATCAGGTAATACTAGTTCCTTGTCACAAGTACTGCCACGTGGATCTGGCTCGCCAACATACGTGTCGCGTATACTCGACATCGCGCCCTTCGTACTCGCTGTCAACTCGGGTATTACAAGTACTGCCGCGTGGATATTCGTTTTCGCCGTACTTGTTACTTCGTACTTGCCGTCTTTTCGGGTAATATTAGTTCCTCGTCACAAGTACTAATCGCGTGGATCTGGCTCACCATCCCGCGCCCACGCTGGGATACGCGTCGCGTATACTCGACATCGCGCCCTTTGTGTTCGCCGATAACTCGGGTAATACTAGTTCCTCGCTAAGAAGAATCACTGCGTGGATCTGGCGCACCAATCCGCGCCCACGCTAGGATAAGTGTCGTAGATACTCGACATCGGTTAAACGTGCCTTCCCAAAATAATAAACATTTCGACAGTGGAAAAGCGAAATTTCGTAAAAATTAACATTTAAAAGTAGTGAAATTAAGACGATTTTTATGTAGCACAGAAGTGGTGTATATAGTGTATTCCACTGTCGACTTGATCACCGGTCACCCATCCGATGACCGACCAATGCGAAAGTTGCGTAACTTCCACGATCGCAGATCGAGCGCGCACACTTTCGCAATCGACGCCCTCAATCATTATAATTAGTTCATTCGAACAGATTTTTAGACAAAACTGTATATAAAAGATATTTTTTTAGGGTTCAGTACCTCAAAAGGTAAAAACGGAACCCTTATACGATCACTTTGTTATCCGTCCGTCCGTCTGTCAAGACCGTTTTTCTCAGGGACGCGGTGGAGGTATCAAACAAAAATTCATATCAAATACTCATGTCTACTGTCCCTTGAAGCTGTGAATAAATCAAACTTCTAAGCCAAAGCAATCAAAAGATACAGCCTGCGCCAAATTTGCGGCATAAACGCCGCATATTTCCGAAACTCGCACGGAAATCAAAACTTACAGGGTACTTCCCGTGAACTTAGAATCTTGAAATTTGGTATGAAGAACATCATAAAGTACAGATAAAGGAAAAATTGTGAACACCGTAAATTTTTAGTTACATCGTATAATAAAAAATATTTTTGAATATTTTACTACCTCTTTTCTCATGAACGCGTAGAGGCAGTCCGACTCGCACTTGGCCCGTTTTTAAATATTCTAACCTATGAATATTTATTTCTTTACAGATCATCCAGTGGGAATAATAACTTCTGAAGATTTATTATTAGCAACTATGTCCGAAAATAAACAAATGAATGGTAAATAGGACTGGAGCCCATAAATGCATAATATTATACTATACTAAACTAGGTGAATATGTCACCTGGATACCTACAATTAATCATGTATGAATAAAATTATGTTTGTATTCTTATGTACTATTTTAAGCTTAATTAAAATTGACATTGATACACTTATACATGACGACCTTCTAGGGATAGAGTATAAAAGTCGGTTAGTCGGGAGTAAAATAGTTGGTCTTATGCCCAATAATGCAGTCTGCAAGTTGTGCTTCCTTGAAATGTATTTAAAAAAAATATTTATGATGTTATGTTAAGTTGGTAAGGAACAAAGGCCACAATCAATGATATCACAAGAAACTAATACTTGAAACATGTTTATATGTTATTAAATAAACAATTTAAAAAGACATGTGGTACTTTTTATTTTTAGATTGCCCACCTTAAAAAGAGGCACCACTAATCTTGGTAGCAGTACAAAAATCTGATAGACAACTCAGACTACAATCCATCAGCATCATCATGCTGATGGATTGTGGTTTGTTATTCAGTAAATAGTGTTACAAATTCTTTGCTATTTTTCTGTAGTTGCAATACCTTAATTTTATAGATACTTTTCGAAAATGGCTGATGGTCTGGGAGGACTGAGGGACCACACTTGGCCTGTAGTTTTAAAATATTTAGTTACAAATTCCCAAATCTTAAGACAACTACTAAATCCCATGATTTTTATTTTGAGGAATTCCACTAAGTCCCTCGCTTCATCACAACACGCCATCACCTTGATCAATCTAGGAAATTTTAAACAGTATTTAAAATAAGTGGCTTAAAATGTATTATTCATTAAGCATTTGAAACATAACAATAAAATCCACAGTTTATTACAAGAAACATATTTCATATCTATGGTGATGGAGGAGGGGATTGCTGATGTTTTGCATTGGCTGCAAGTATAGCACCTGGAGCTGGGTATGGCCTCATTTGATATAAAGGTCCCGAGACTGTAGAATCTACTCCTGTCTTTGCATGTCGATCCAAACCTGAGCTCCAATTGCCACGTGGAATCTCAGAATATGAAGCAGGGTCCATAGGATCCAAATCATTGTCTTTGACACGGGGTCTTTTCTTATCTCTGTGATGAACTATATCTTTTTCCCTTTCTCTACGATCACGAGATTTCTCCTTGGTTTGTTGTTGAGGTACTTCTTGGTCTGATTCATCACTACTGTTGTCACTTTCATCACCCTCACGCAGTAATCGCTCTTCACGTAAATGCGAAGCACTTTCAGTCGGTACAGCATTTGGATGTGCAGGTGGCAACCATGATACCAAATTATTGTGAACATTCCAATAATAATGTTGACCACAACCCTCATCATAAACTTCCTCCCAGCCAGCAGGTAGCGGCCAAAGCTCTAAGGCTTTACGTTTATTCTCTAAGTAATGTTCATCTGGCACTGATTTACCTTGTTTCCAAGTTTTAACACAAAACTTTGTACATTCATGATAAATGTTATATTTATTTGGACAGCCCCTGTGCCCTTTGATTGGGTCCACGTTTACTCCCTCAATACCTTCCCAAAAATGTTCTACATTATTATGCTCTTCAGGTTTATTATCATAATCTTCTGCAATAATCTCTTCATTGGTTTGTGCAGGAGGTTCATTGCTCGAACCATTTATACTCGGTTTTAAGATACCTCTTTTTGCAAGACGCGCTGCAAGTGCTGGCGGAAGCGGCATTTTTTGGTATAAAATTAAATAACTAGGCACAGTTCATATTAACATAAGTATTGTAGTTTATAATTTAAAAACACTCACAAGGTTAAAAGCACTGAACAGCCTGAAATATTGATAATATTTAAACTACTCTTTGCCTAAATACACAGATTAAAAAATGGTACAGTATTGGCATTTTAAGATGCGTTCAACTCGCTATAATTTAGCTATACAAATAAAACAGACCTAATTCTGACATGATTCTTTTTAACTTCAACATAATACATATAAAATGACGTCTTTCTTTTTTATTCTATATAGAACATGACAAGGATACACTGTTGTTACTAATTTCAGGTCAAGAGAATCAGGCCCAACTAGGGACACGAAAAAAGTATCGATACTTTGTGGTATCGAGTACTTTTCCTTTCGATACCGATACTTTTGTACTCGATACTTTGTATTCGATACTTTTACTAAATGAGTACTTTTTGGCAAGTATCGTTACCTTTAATCTATAATCTTTCGATAAGCGCCTCATATTGATGGCAACGCTTATTATAAAATCATAGCAAACCTTCTAAAACGTTCCATTGCGTTGTTATATAGTCAGTAACTGACATATTAAAATTCTTTCCAATCTGTGACTGTGTTTATTTTGCGCTTTGTTTTGTTTTATAGTTATTTATTTACCGAGCATATTATTAGGAATTGCTGATTCGCGGTTAATTGTGCTTTTCGTTTGACTGTATTTGATTTACTCAACAGTAACATTATTATTTTGTCTGTGCTGTGTATACCTATTTTAAACCACGGACCTGAAAAAAAAGACGGGCGTAGAAAAGTAAGTTTAATTTGTAACAAATCTGAAAAGTTTCATACTTTTTAATGTTTAAGGTTGCGATCTTTTTAATTAAAATTTTAATTATGAATGTAACATTAATGAAAACTTATTCGTGTCAGAAATCACAGCTATTTTCTTTTAATTATATATTAAATTACGCACATTTAGTTTTGTAGTTGATTATATTAACAATACACATTGTTAAGAGTGGCTGGATAATATAGCAATTTGTGAATTTTCTTAAATACTTTAAAGTATCGATACTTTTGTTTCAATACTTTTACGAGTACGATACTTTTTTTCCGATGCTACTCATGAGTAAAGTATCGATACTTTCTATTCGATATCGTGTCCCTAGGCCCAACAGAACGATATCGCGCACCCACCCCAGATACATAGGACACGTTCACACAACGCAATATATTATGGATGTATTCCGTAATATATACCAGTATACTGGCCAGTGCTAATGACGTCATGAATCGACGCTATTAGTGAATTGTTCCGAAATATAGTGGCCAGTGTACTGACGTCATAAATTGACGAAATATTAAAAATGTTGCGAATAATGAAGATTTTTTATTCTATATTTATATATCTTTATATATAATTCCATTTAATAAAAGGAATTCTTTTTGTTCGGATGCCGTTATTGTTCTTTAAATAAAAAAGAAATAAAATTTGAATGCTTCTCACGCACGCTCGGTCATACGTCATATTCGTTTTCCCGGTAAAAATATGGTAGCATACCAGTACAATATGGCATCGGATTCGTAACGTCATGACCACTGGCCAGTATACTGATGTATATTTCGGAATTATACCCTATATTAGCTTGATAAACACGCTATAGGTACTATAAAGCGCTATAGTATAGCAACGCACCTTCGCACAAGGTTAGCGTAACAACATTGTATTAAGATTCTACTAATTTGAAACGCAACGTACCCATCAATTTATTCGAAAGAAATTAAGCTAAATAAATAAGTAATTACAAAAAATGCTGCCAAATTAATAGTTTAAACTTATCACTACTAATGGCAGTGACAGGCTCCGCTGGAGCTCGGAAACTGCCTTCACCTAAAACTCCTCGGGTGGAACCTTCGGCTTCGACCTCTGGAACTCAGGCGAATCGCCCCAGTGCGACGTCTCAGTCCCGAGGGCCAGCTGTCGGAACTCGTCCCGTAGGAGTACAACCTTCTAGAATCCAGGGCTTTAGACCGAAGCAGGTGGCGAGGCCTGCTAACAAGGCTAAAGGTCAAAGCCTCCCTCGCAAACTATTCGAATACTTTATTATTGTGGTCTGAGTACTGTAGCTGTACCTTTAAAACGGGACGAGTGAGAAATAGCGAACACCCCTCCTACCCCTTTTTAACAGGTTGACCCCATAGAAATACAACGTCTACGGATGACCCCAACTTTAATAAAAAACGGAAGCAATTCTAAAGTCGACGCGTATATAGGTATATTTATTTATGTACCTATGTTTCTGCATTACTTTTAACATAGTCCGATTTTTATAATTCTTTTTTTTTATTGGAAAGGGTTTATTGGTAAGCCTGAAGCTGGTTGCATGTGAATTTGGAAAAAGCAACCCTGAGGATATGGAAACGGGGGATGATTGATTGTTCACTCACCGATTATAATGTATGGGTACGGCCACAGTGCACACTGGTTCAGTATCAGGTTCAGACTCAGAAAACAAGCGCGAGAAATAAACAGTGTAGTTTAAGCAGGGTGGCCATAGCGGCAGCAGGCAACTAGTCTCCCGCGCAGGGTTCGCAGTCAGGGACTTTACCGGAATGTTTAGGTCATTCTTGTTTCAGATACTGAATTCACCAGCACCGCTCGGACTGTAGGTTAAAGTTGTTCATGTAACCTTTTTCTTGGTTTTGTTTATAAACACACATTTAGTGCGTTGCTTCTTGTTTGCGATCTTCTCTTGTTTCATGATTTATATTTTAGAATTAACATAATGAATATTGAACCGCTTATCGCGAAAGTATTTCTTAACTCTGCTGTATGGGATAAAAGAGACAAGAAACATTCAAATAGGAATGTCGTTGATAGGTGCTGGCAAAACACTGTAAAAAAGCGAGTGTGCTTATGACCACACGACTGAAGTGAAACTTCTTTAGCTCCAATGATCTAAAAATCATAAACTTAACCTAAAGATTTGTTGATAGAAAAAAAACACCAATCGGCGCTGGGTCCGTTTCCACCCTCCAATCCGCACTGGGTCCGTTATCATCCACCAATTCGCACTGGGTCCATTGTTACCCAACAATCCGCACTGGGTCCGTTATCACCCACCAATCCGCACTGGGTCCGTTCATCATCATCATCATCAACCCATGTTCGTCCACTGCTGGACATAGGTCTCCCCTAATTCACACCACTGCTCCCGATTTTGTGCTACTCTCATCCAGCCCACTACAGCCAGCCTACGAATATCATCATCCCATCTTGTCTCAGGGCGTCCTACACTACGTTTACCGAGTCGTGGTCTCCACTCAAGAACTTTCCGGCTCCAACGGCCATCAGTTCTGCGGCTAATGTGACCAGCCAACTGCCACTTCAGTTTGCTAATTCGGTGGGCGATGTCGGTGACTCTGGTTCTCTGTCGGATTACGTCATTTCTAATGCGGTCCTTCAGGGATACTCCGAGCAATAGCCCTTTCCATAGCTCTCTGAGCGACTTTAAACTGGTGGAATCGTCCAGCCGTGAGTGTCCACGTCTCGGCGCCGTATGTCATAACTGGGAGGACGCACTGGTCGAAAACTTTCGACTTGAGACATTGAGGGATGGGTGACGAGAAGACTTGACGAAGCTTAAAAAATGCTGCCCCGCACCAACTGAATTCTTCTATTGGCCTCTCTCTCGAAGTTGTTTCTGCCTAATCGGAACGTTTGTCCTAGATAGACATACTCCTGAACCACCTCGAGAACGAGCTCGTTGAACATGACCTTGGTTTTATCCAAGTTCATCCGGAGACCGATGCGTTTGGAAGGTTCAGCTAGGCTGCTCACCATCTCCTGCAGCTTTTGCGGGGTTTCAGCCAGGATGACGATGTCGTCCGCGAATCGAAGGTGTGAGATGTATTCGCCATTAATATTTATTCCACGTGTTTTCCAGTTGAGCGTTCTGAACATGTCCTGCAGCGCAGCGGAGAAGAGTTTCGGGGATATTACATCTCTTTGTCTCACACCACGGCGCAGCAGGACAGGCTCGGTCTGACCATTCTGGAGTACGACGGACATATTAGCGGCGTCATACAGACATCTCAGCACCTCGATATATCGCCAATCAACTTGGCACCTCTGCAAGGCCTCGAGAACAGACCAGATCTCGACGAACAGAGTTAAATATACGCCGGAGCTCCTTCAGCGCCGGCTTGCCGGCAGCTTTCAGAAGCTTAGTTGTGACTCCGTCCTCCCCCGGGGCATTTTGCATTTTTAAGTTGCCCAAGAGCCGCCTCGATCTCCTCTAGGTCGATGGCGGCGATATCCTCCGTCACATGGCGGGTTAATGTGGCTTTTACCATTACATCCAGAGTCTCTTTCGAAAGCTTAGACCGCTTGCCCGTACGTCGCAGCTCACAGAACTTCGCACCCTCGTCCCGAAGGATTTCTACCACTTGGTTGAGTTCCTCGTCGATGTCAACGTCAATTGTGGTTTCCAAGGCAGCGAATCGATTTTCCAGTTTCAGTTGGAATGCGTCAGAACCAACGGCCAATTGGAAAAGATTTGGCCGGAGCGTGGACTTCATAAATCGACATCGCTCGCACTTCAAATCGATATTCAGAGTGCCTCTTAGAAGTCGGTGATCACTTCCAGTTTAAAACCTATTGATCACTGAGAAATCTCTGAATATGCGCTTCTTGTCCGATATGATGAAATCAATCTCGTTTTTGATCATAGTATCGGGGCTCCGCCACGTCCATCTCCTCTGGAGCTGTTTCATAAAGAACGAATTCATTAAGAAAAGCCCCTCGCGTTCTAAGAAATTGACGAGCCTCCTATGATTCCTACTTCCATATCCGTATGATCCTAACATCGATTCGCTGCAGGTCTGTACTCCCACTTTAGCGTTGAAATCCCCCATGACAACGTTAAAGTGAGCCTTGGTGATGGTGTGTAGGGCTCGAGAGATGTCTTCGTACGTCTCTTCCACGACATCATCCGAGTATGTCGACGTTGGAACGTACACTTGTTTAAGCTTAGAGAGAATCGGCACCTTCGTTTGGTTAAGTTATAGATCGTGAATGATTGAATGTTTGTTTTTTTTTATAAAACCCGTCGATGTATATTTGTTTTAT